ACCCATGCAGTGATTGCCTCTTCGCAGGGGTTACTGTCAGTCGGTTCAGTTCCCGCTTCCACAAAGTTAAAGTGCAAACCAGTGTCTCGTCGTTGTTGGACCAGCTTTTCCGAACAGGGATGGCAGTGCTCTCTCGCATCAGCTTCTAAGCAGCCGGCTGACAGCCCTTAAAGGTCCTTCCCGTAACGAGCATCGTTTGCTTAACTTCACGGTACTGTACTTGTCATCTGCACGTCGCAAGTTAAACATACGCTTTCACTTAAATATTAATGGGTTCTCCTCTTGCCTCCCTTTCTAAAATCTGTTTGCTGCTTTAGTCTATCAGGCGTAGCCAAGGTGCGTAAATGCGACTGCAAAAAAAAAAAAAAAAGGTAAAATGAGGAAGTTTTATCACAAACGCTCTTTTTAACATCAAACCACTGGGTGTCACTGTCGATCTGAGGTGGCTATTACCGTAATTCTATTTCCATGGTAAACCAGCGATTTTTAATGATTCATACGATATTGGGAGCTATTCACGTTCTTCGTGCGTGTGGTTCAGAATAAATACTTTGCTTCCACTGGCTGTTTCAGGATATTTTCAACTCGGTGATTGCAGCGTTGTTCCTCCTCATTGTCTGCCTGTTCGCAGTAATAAGCAAGACCAACAATGGGACACTGGCTGGAGGAGTAAGTAGGAACGCTGTTAATGAATTTCAGTTCTTAAAGTGGACGTGATTTAACCTCTTGGTATGCTTACGTTGGGGTAAGACCATGAAAATAACCCTGTCAGGGAAGAACGTACTCAGCAGTCGCAAACAAAAGCGAATACACATTCAATGTATCTCACTAAAAAAAAAATCCTCAAATCGTTAGTAATTTAAAGATATTACTAGACTTAGTAATTACTACAGAGAAGTACTAACACTGAAAACTCCTAGAGGAACCTGCATTTACTTGAAATCCTAGGTGGGAGAATCCATAGCTCTTTTAGGACTATCCAGTTTGGTTACACTGTTTAAGAAGAAATGCCTACAATCCTGCTAAAAAGAGTTGAAACTCTTTAACAGATGTGGTAGTACCTCCCTCCTGATGTGTATATTACTTTTTGTGACATAACTGAGAAATTATGGCTGTTGAAAAGGTTTTTTCATACTATGATTGCAAGATTTTTGTGTGCTTTAAGATCAAACCAATTTTAATAGTTTAAGCAACTGGTATTTGTAGTTCAAATGAAAACTAATGTAAATAACATTAATAAACGATAAGGGGGAAAAAACTCAGTTTTGAAAGTATTTAAGTCTCCTGAAGTACAAGACAAGCTACCGAAAGAAGCCCAGAACTTGCCACGGGAGTTTTTCAAAATCAGCTTAAGAGACGATGAGGTGGAAAGCTGATGTCTTTGCTGGCAGCGCTATCCTAAGCAAAATGGCGACTTTCTGATTAAGTGACCAGCTGTGCTAGAATATAATACATATTCTCAGTAGTGAAGTTAATAGAAATTAAAGTTAAGTTGGAAGCAGGAGACTAAGCAGGTGGCTTGGAAAACAAGTTTGGGCAGAACGTAGGACATCTTCAGTGTTGGGAGAAACAGAATTGCCCCGCGGCCTGTACTCCTCAGGCACAGACCACCTTGAACTGCGCTCTCCTGAAAGAGCTTCTCTTAGCGTTACTCCCACTGATCGGATCATTCCATTTTAAAACATGCTTGCATCAAAAAACTTGTGTGCACGTGGGATTGGGCTGAAGGGCAAGAGCTGAGCAAGGTAGCTCAGCAGTCATTTTGCAAACACATTTTTCCAGTTGCCTGCCTGAAGTTGTTTTTTTTTCTTTTTTTTTAAATACTTACATTCGTTTTCTTCAATTTGGAATATGTTTCCCGTTCAGAGCTTTAGAGGAGAGGAACGCTATTTTTTTTCCTGCTAGGCTTTTTTCTACAAATGTTGACTTTTCTCCAGGCCAATACCATTAATTAGGCAGTCCTTAAAGAGGCAGAAGGGTTTTCATTTAGGATAAAAGCATTGCCTGGCATAATGCAGCATTAGCTTAGCTTTCAAGGAGAACACATCATCTGCAATGCAAGCATCAAACAAAGCCAGGGTGTAGACTGCTGTGTGAAAGGCTGATGGGATTTAAGTATGGATGTTATTTCATTTATCAGCTGTCTCGCATCACACATATATTTAGAAGGCCAGAACCAACTTAGGAAGATGTGTTTACTGCTTCTTTGAGGAACAGTAGATGAGTCATTGCAATAAAAGACAGAGATTCTGTGGGGAAACTAACGTTCTTGTTATTTTTATAGGTGTTTGGTCTTGTCTTGTTTGTTCTCTGTGTTGTCGACGCAGTTCTTATTTTCCAGAAGATTAGCCTTGATGGACCAAGAAGAAGGAATACTCCTGTGAAATAAGATTACCGTTTTAGTAAAAGAACGATTTCTCCAGCGATGACTGTTTTACTGTTGTCTTTTGAAGAATTTGTATTTTCATATGTTCACCGTTGAATTTCCCATGCATTTATGTACATTTTTGCAAGTATTGTTCCTAAGTTTTCTTACATTTACAAATGCTGTTTCAGTGGTACAATTTCACCAGTGTACGCTTCACAGAAAACTGTCATATTTTTCTAAACTTAATTACATTTTCACCTGTGTGAAAATTAATTTCATAATTGTCATCTTTCTGTAATAAAAAGAAAATACAAATCGGCCTGTGTGCATTATTTAACATTATTAAGTGCACTTGAAGTAAAAACTCCTGAATTCAATGTACTAGTAAACATCTTTAGGAACAGATTTTTTTTTTCCCCTCTTCCTTATGTTCCTCATTCCACAGATGAGCGTCCTGGCTGGGGCCTGTCTCGTGTCACCTCAATGCTTTATTGCTGTGAGACCTTTTGGTCCCCAGGTTTTCATTTCTACCATCAGAATAGCGCCGGCAAGAACCACGCTGCCTCCCTTGTGGCACGCAGTCACGACTGCGCTGCGGTGCAGCGGAGGTAGCAGATAAAATTAAATTGGTGTTATAAGCCACGTGAAATATTTAAGCGTCTGCGAGGA